GGAGAAGGAAATGGCCACCCACTCCAGTATTCTTGCCTGGGAAATCCAGTGGATGGAGAAGCCTGGTAGTCTATAGCCCATGAGGTCGCAAAGAGTCGGACACGACTAAGTGACTAAACTTTAAAAAAACTTTTCAATGCGGTTTGATTCAAGTTCTAGTGTGTGTGTGTGTGTGTGTTTAAATGCAGTGTGAAATCAAGTTATAAAACATAGAACTCTCTGCAACTATATTATTGAGGCTATAGCCATTTTTTAATAAGGCTGTCATGTTCTGGAGAAGCTTCGTTTATTCACTTTATTTGAAAAGCCCTTATACTGTGCATGATGATTTCTTATTCTGTCATTAACCTTTCCTTTTTAATTCATAGTTTTCATTGATTCCCCAGGTATTTATTGAGAGCTTGTATTTTGCAAAGTAGTCTATTTGAGCATAACTATCTCAGAATTTAGGGACTAAAGGAACTCCAAGATCTTTTATAGTAACCCTAACTTTCTACAATTTAAATTAAGACACTGAGATCCAGAAGTGTGCCATCACCTGAACAAAACCTTAAATGTGATAAAGCATAAGTAAAGATCTCCCAACCTTGGATCCAGAATTCTTCCTGTTGAACCATGTTGTCCATAAAAACTAAAAATATACTTGAATCCTAAGTCTTAATATAATGTTTATAACATTCCTAAAGGAATTTTGTGAACAAATTATATTACAATCCTTGCCTTAAAGCTACTTATAAAATGTTGAGGATGAAAAAACATATTTGAAAAAAAAAATGGAGAAAGTAAAAAGTTTAACTGAAAGCTTCCTGAGGGACAGAAATTATGTGTAACCTTTATCAAATTTGATATATTCCCCTAACACAGTGAGCTGATCATAGTACATACTTAAGTATTGATTAAATGATAAACTATGTATTAAAATATTAGATGCAGACATTAGGTACTTTAAATGATCAGAGAAAATAAAAACTAACCTCAATTTGGAAAGTAAAAACAAAAAAAGAAAAGAAACAAGTCTTCATGGAAGATTTAGAATTTAAAGTGGGCCATAACTAATGGTTGCAATTTAATTAGAAATAGAGGAACTCCCAATTTTAAAAATACTTGTTTAGCTCGCTTTTTATTAAGACTTTAGATACAGGTTCTCTGAGTTATTTGCTTTCAGATTTCACCTCTTAGCATGAGTGCTTAGAATAAGCATGCTCATGAAAAAATAGTATGATAAATATGCTAAGATATGGGTATAAGGATTTTAATTGTTCTACTATTTATAAGAGCATTAAGAAATGGAACCAACCCAAACAGTCATCAGTGGATTAATTGTTAGTACAAACAATTTAAAATTAATGGTGAGTATGGTGGAGGTGATGGAATTTCAACTGAGCTATTCAAATCGTAAAAGATGATGCTGTTAAAGTGCTGCACTTAATATGCCAGCAAATATGGAAAGCTCAGCAGTGGCCACACAACTGGAAAAGGTCAGTTTTCATTCCAATCCCAAGGAAAGGCAATGCCAAAGAATGTTCAAACTACCACACAACTGCACTCATCTCACACCCTAGCAAAGTAAAGCTCAAAATTCTCCAAGTGAGGCTCTAACAGTATGTGAACAAAGAACTTCCAGATGTTCAAGGTGGATTTAGAAAAGGCAGAAGAACCAGAGATCAAATTGGCAACATCCATTGGGTCATCAAAAAAGCAAGAGAGTTCCAGAAAAACATCTGCTTCATTGACTACACCAAAGCCTTTGACTGTGTGGATCACAACAAACTGTGGAACATTCTTAAAGAGATGGGAATACCAGACCACCTCACCTGCCTCCTGAGAAACCTGTATGCAGGTCAAGAAGCAATAGTTAGAACTGGACATGGAACAATTGACTGGTTCTAAATTGGGAAAGGAGTACGTCAAGGCTGTATGTTGTTACTGTGCTTATTTAATTTATATGCAGAGTACATCATGTGAAATGCCTGGCTGAACGAAGCACAAGCTGGAATCAAGATTGCCAGGGGAAATATCAATAACCTCAGATATGCAGATGATACCACCCTTATGGCAGAAAGTGAAGAACTAAAGGGCCTCTTCATGAAAGTGAAAGAGGAGAGTGAAAAAGTTAGCTTAAAACTCAACATTCAGAAAACTACGATCATGGCATCTGGTCCTATCATTTCATGGCAAATAGATGGGGAAACAATGGAAACAGTGAGAGACTTTATTTTCTTGGGCTCCAAAATCACTGCAGATGTTGATTGCAGGCACAAAATTAAAAGATGCTTGCTCCTTGGAAGAAAAGATATGATAAGCCTAGAGAGCATATTAAAAAGCAGAGACTTTACTTTGCCAACAAAGGTCCATATAGTCAAAGCTATGGTTTTTCTGGTATTCATGTATAGATGTGAAAGTTAGACCATAAAGAAGGTTGAATGCCAAACAATTGATGTTTTTGAGCTGTGGTGCTGGAGAAGACTCTTGAGAGTCCCTTGGACTCCAAGGAGATCCAACAAGTCAATCCTAAAGGAAATCAGTCCTGGGTGTCATTGGGAGGACTGATGCTGAAGCTGAAGCTCCAATCCTTTGGCCATCTGTTGAGAAAGCTAACTCATTAGGAAAGACCCTGATGCTGGGAAAGATTGAAGGCAGGAGGAGAAGGGGATGACAGAGGACAAGATGGCTGGATGGCATCACTGACTCGATGGACATGAGTTTGAGCAAGCTTCAGGAGATGATGAACGACAGGGAAATATGGTGTGCTGCAATCCATGAAGTTGCAAAGTGCCAGACATAACCGAGCAACTCAAAAGCAACAACAGCCACAATAGATCTATATTTTTTTCAACATGCAGAAATACTGATAATATATTTTAGAGTAAAAACATTTAGCTGCAAAATTATATATATGATCTCATATTTGTAAAGAAAAACATGAAAACACAAATAATGCAAAGCAGGATGGTGGACATTTTAATTTTCTTTTTCATGCTTTTCAGAATTTTTATAAAGTCTTTCAATAAACATGTTACTTATAAAAATGATTAAACTTTTTATCTGGGTGTGGGAGAGTTCTAAATTTATTCTCTTCCCTTACCACAGATATGAAATCTGTAGAACAGTGATCTCCATTCATGGAACAACTTTCACTGAGCACCTACTATGTACTAGACACTAAGAACAAAAGAGTCAAAATCTGTTTCCTGGGCTCCTCATGGCTAGAAAGAGATGAAAATCTGAAATGGAGAAATGGATAAATTCCCTTCAAACTTGTCACTTCAGAGTAGTCCCTTTGTCCTATACTGCTTTTCTTTTTTTTAAACTAAATTGATGGCTGTCTGTGTTGTGCTTGTACAGTGTCTAGACTATGAATAAAGTTACAGAGGTTTTTCCATGTATGACTTTTTAATTGAAATAATTCAACTCTCTCTTTTGCTAGGAAAAAAATCAATTCTAAGACATTTAGGCCTAGACAAAAATGTGTAATGTGTTTTGAGTTGACACTGAGAACTTATACATGAATAATTATGCTTTTGTTCAGTACTGTATAATTTTCTCCTTCTATAGAATATATTTTCAGAAATTTAATTACATATTACAGTAATTATGTCAGTATTTGTTGTTAGTTTTAACACTGATTCTCCCAGAGGGTAGTACGTGTCATCTTGAGAATGCACTAATGCCTAGCACTTCAGCATTCCTGTGAGGGTTATGTTGTCTGAACTTGGCTTGCTCAGGATAAGACAGAGCTGTCCCAGATCTAATAGCAGCCAGCCATGGATAATTGTATGCAGTCATGAGGCCAATGAGGACCCTATAGAGGATTCATCTTCAGCACTCTATACAACTGAGTACAGGCTTTTGGAAATACTCATCTAAACATACTCAACATTTGGGGATTTTTAGTTGATTATTCTTTTAAGTTAAAGAAGCTATTAGCAGGAGTGCTTTTGTAGTTTATGTTGTATCAAGGGCTAAAAATAATAGTTTCCAAATGTTTTGTAGGAATTTATAAGCATTTCCATTGATAATATCTCATTTAATCTTTAGACCACCTCTGAGGCAGGTGTTATTATGTCAGTTTTACAGGTGAGAGAACAGAGGTCCAGTTAGATTAAATGACTTGCCTGAAGTCACATAGCTAATAAGAAATAGACCTGGATTTCAACCTATGAGTCCTGACTTCAAATCCTGTTCTTTTTTAGCTATACCAAACTGCTGCCTTCTGCCTTTGTGGTTGGAAATGTGGGTATTTCTTTGCATATTATTGGGTTGATTCTGACAAGGTTCATACAAGGGCATAAACATACATTTCTAAGCTCTTCTTTTGATTAAGTTGTTACCCTCCAGTTCACCACTTTTAAGACCAATTATGAGTTAGTGATCATGCCTTTTACCCTAGGACTCAGAGAATATTTATGTAAATATAGAGGTCGGTCCATTGATATGGTAACTGCAGTACTAAAACTGAAGAAATTCACTCACTAAATGAAGATATGTAGATTCAGTAAATGAATGTGGACCAACAGCATTTCATCAACAGCTGCTAATACAAGAAGGCATTATACACACAGGTACAATTGAATGACCCCCTAAAAGAAATTTATGTCATCAGAAAGAACTTCCCACTGTTGAGCTTCAAATGCATGTTCATAGTTAGAATTTAAAGGAGCTGAAGGAAAATGTAAATTGTTTTGAAACTATTAAAGAAATGGATTGAGAAACCTTCTGCATCTTGGCATAAAAATACAGCATAGAGGATATCTTATTTCTTGACCTTAATTATGAATATTGTTGTAAGGTCTGTGAATTTTCATTATCTCAGAAAAGAGGCAGATTAATTCCAAAGCAGTTAAAAAAATTAAATTCCTTTCATTTATCTTTATGTTAATGCAATAGCTCGGAAGCAGGGTTCAACTTTTATTTCACTTATGTGTCTCTTAAAATTTTCTTTTATTCTATATGTAGGTTTTCAAAATAAAATTATTTTGATTTTTTTCTTTTTACTCTAGGCTTGATCCTCCACTACCTGAGATGCCGAAAAAGGATCATGGCTCAGCTGAAAACGTGTCCTTAGAAACTCTAAGAAATAGTAGTCCAGGAGACCTCTTTGATGAGATTTAATGGTCTCAAAAAGTACTGTGATAGTCACAAGACCATGTTTTCTGTCCCATTCTTTAAATTGCGAAAACAAAATTTCAACTCAGCAACGGCTCTTAGTGCACCTTACAATTTAGTTACACACACAATGAGCTGAAACCATTGTGCAAAATGGATTACACATGTATATGAAAATGATTTGATGACAGTGGTACATTATTCTAATGTGTTCATTCAGCATGCCTGTAATTACATAAAATCTCAGACCTTTTTATTGCAAAGGTCACTTGTACCTTATTCATTTCACATATTACATGTAGTAGCTGTCTATCCTGTCTAGGAAGATTTTGAAAATAGAGCAAATAAAATTTCTACAAATTCTTTTTCAAATAATCGTATTCTAAACACTGATGTTTGAGAATTTTAACTTGTGGAATGATATGCAGAATCTTGTTTTAGTTTTTACACAATCTGAAAATCTGGTGATAAAACTTTTGATTGAAGATTTTGTATTCTTAATAAAATGTTATCTTGGTTAACTTTTTCCATTACTATAGTATCAGGTCTTTATAGAGTGCATACTAATGTAAATGTAACATCGTTTTGTATCAAAGCATGTTTTTCAGAGATCTCAAGATCTCTGTACTGTTGGTCCCTCTGCCTGGAATGTTGATCTTTGTACACTTGGTTTCTTTTCACCTTTCAGATAAAGAATCAAATGTCTCCTACTCCACGGTGCTTCCTCTGAAATATACTTTAAAAAAGACGTGCATATTCCCAGTCACTCTATCCCATTGGAATGTTTTTTTCACTCTATGTATCACTCGGCTTCCCTGGTGGCTCAGATGGTAAAGAGTCCACCTGAAATGCGGGAGAATTGGGTTTGATTCCTGGGTTGGGAAGATTCCCTGGAGAAGGGAATGGCTACCCACCCCAGCACTCTGGCCTGCAGAATTCCATGGGCTATAGTCCATGGGGTCGCAAAGAGTTGGACATGACTGAGCAACTTTCATTTTCTTTTCATGTATCACTGTCTGGAATTGCTATTTTTTTTTCTTGCCTCTTATCTATCTCTTCTCCTTCCTTCTATTTGTCTGTCTTTCTTTCACTAACCTACCACTGTCCCCACCCCCCACCCCCCCAGTCTGTCTGCCTATAGAGAGTAAGCCCCATCATAGCAGAGGCATGACCATCTGCTTTCTCTGTCCACCTGCCAGTACCTAGGACAGGGCTGGATTCCTCAAGGCTTAATAACTGTTTACTGAAGAAATAAAAGCATGTCCATCACAGTGTAGGCACTCAGATGATCTAGTTTCTTTAAGTTACTAGATCACTGTGAACACAAACTCATTAAAAGACTGAAATCTAGCTGGATGATTTGATACAAAGAAGAAATTTTTCAGAAAACATAACTACCTTCTGTGATTAATTAAAAATATACATATATATACACACAAGCTTGACTATAGAAAGATAATGAGAAAGAAATTATAGATTATTGTTTATATCAGAAATGGGATTTTCTTGAGAGTTCCATGATGACACAATGGCTTAATCTCTGCTCCCAATCAGGGGGCTGAGGTCCAATCCCCGGTCAGGAAACTAGATCTCACATGTCACAACTAAGGGTTCGTATGCCACAACTAAAGATCCTGCATGCCATAACTAAGATCCAGCACAGCCAAATAAATCAACTAATAAATAGAAATATTTTTAAAAAAGAAATAAGATTTTATTGTCCATGGAACAACAAAATATTTTAAATAGAAATTTTCCTGCATTTTCATTTCTATACTGGTTTCCATTTAAGAGGGAGATTTTTAATTAAATGTAAATATAAATGTGTGAAATATAAAATTCTACTCGGTCACATAGAAAATTCACTTAATAATGAATTTGTGTAATCCAGGATTTACCTTGGATCTTTCCAAGGGGATTTGGTACATAAAGTACCAGAATCTCAAAATAATACTATCACATCTGAATAGACCACAAATGACTGACCAAAAGTAGTATACATCAGTGTATGTATATATAGCTATGTACATATGTGTATGTTTTATATATATATGTATATTTTTTAAGAGAAAGAGAAAACAGAATTTTGGCTGTTAGCTAGCAGTGAGAACGGAAAATGTTTCCTAAGTAATGGTAACAATACAATCTATAGTTCATGGTATAGTAGACTCTTGAACAACATGGGGTTGAACTATGCAGGTCCACTTATAAGGGGATTTTTTTCAATAGTATATAATATAGTACTACACAATCTGCAGTTGGTTGAGTCTTCAGATGCAGAATTGTGGATTTGAAGGATCCGAAGATATTGAGGAACCACAGATATGAAGGGCTGACTATATATTATACTCAGATTCTTGACTGTCTAGAGGGTTAGCACCCTTCTCCTCACATTGTTCAAGGTTCAGTTGTATTTTTTACTTTTTCAAGGTTGGTTGTGGATCTTTTCAACCATTGCTGTGTGTCAGATTGATTCAGCTGGTTAGAATAGAGCATAATAAGCCCATAATCATGGTTTCCTCTTTTCTATTTATTGCTATTTTATAGTTCTTGTTCTCTGTAAACAGACATCTATAGGTTTGGTTAAGAGGTCCAGATTCTGTAATTCCATGCTATGATTTTTTTCCCCACATTTTTCTTTTCTATACTCTAAAATAGATTTTTGTAGAAGACACTGCAATGGAAGGCGAAAGAATTGAGTTATAATGCAGCCTGGCTTTTTTGATCTTGGTGCCCTCACTTCTAAAAACAAGGTGATTACATTTCTGAAGGGTGATTTTTGGCTTAAGGTTTATAATTATTGGCCCTGGCATCAGATGGTATGGGTCAGGACTCATTAGGGAAGTTCATGGGAGAAAAAAAATCCCATGTCAGGAAGAGATGTCTTTATTATGTGGTTTTTAAAAGGTCAGGAAACTACTTAAAACTTGTTCTTAGTGACATATAACTCAAATTTATAAAATTCTAGGTCCCATGTTTTAGAGCCAAGCAGCTCTTTATTGGGTAAGTTTGATTCAACAGTGTTTATAAAGGATTACTTATGCACAAAATACAGAACTGGGCTATGTGCGGAATTGAAGGATAAATCCATCCATCTACCAGGTATTTGTTAAGCATTCGTGTTGACCTCTATTCTGGGCACTAGATGAGGCAATGAATAATACTAGCGCTCTGTTGCTGTAGAGTTTATATCCTAGCAAGTGAAATTTGGGGGTCTGGTCTCAAAATATATGGAGTGTATGAGATTGGGGCTTGAAACTACTTTGTAATGAACCATAATATCAAAGAGTATTAGAATAAGTGACTTAAAGGGAAATATTTAAAAATTAAAGTTTTAGATGAGAATCCACAGAAGATAAGACTTCCCTGGTGGCTCAGATGGTAAGGTGTCTGCCTGCAATGTGGAAGACCCGGGTTCGATCCCTGGGAGGGGAAGATCTCCTGCAGAAGGAAATGGCAACCCATTCCAGTATTCTCGCCCGGAAAAATCCCGTGGATGGAGGAGCCTGGTAGGCTACAGTCCATGGGGTCGCAAAGCATTGGACACGACTGAACAATTTCATTTTCACTTTCCATAGAAGATAAAAGATGCAATTGAGAGATTAAGAGAAATAGGTAGGTGTTGGGGAGAGTGAGCTAAGGATGTAGCTATCTTCCAGATCAGAGGAGAGTATAGAAGGTGCTGGGGAATCAGCTATGAGGTTAATTTCCAAGTTTATAATTGTGAATCCTCAGAATGCAGAAGACAGGTTAGAAGATATTCCAGGGGGACTGTTGGCCCAGGGTGATTAGTAGTGAGAATCTCAGTTTTATAATAAAGGTATGGCGAGCATTGAGCCCCACAGGTCTATCTGGCACTTCCTTGGGAAGGTATGGGCTTCTGGAAAACTTCAGGTCATGGAGACCTTGCTGGGCATCTGAGGATGGGAAAGGAAGGCCAGTCTGGAGGCCTCTCAGCAGATACTTCAAAGGAGCAGCCAACCTGCATCCTGTTATGTCTCTCCCATTCTCTTACTGTTATTTATACAGAATCCATTTTGAATAAAGCAAGATTAAATAGCTGACATCCAAGTCCATGAAAGGCCTCATGAACTTACCTATAAATCAGGAAATTAAAAAAAACAGGTTGTTAACACATTTTGTAAGTGAGTATATAGTAACAAAAGAACTATTCATGTATCCTTGTGTAGCTGTTGTCTGAATTAAAACTTTCCACTGCTAATCTGACAGTTTCTAGTAAATGCTTCTCAGGAGGGCAGATTTCATTTGCAAGTTTTCAGTGAACAAACCTGAAATGATTGTCTCTGTTTTAATAACTGGAAAAGGATACTTTGGAAAATACATGGCAGCAAGCATTTTGTGGTTAACTGACCATCCAACCATCTTGTCTTGTCTCCCAGTTCTCTTTCTTACCTACTCAACCTAAAATGCTCTCCAGCCTCCCTTCTAATTTTCTCCATTTCATATATCCACGTCATCTCGTTTACCAGCTATTATCCTCACCTTCTAATTTTCCTCTCCTTTGTGTGTGTGTGTGTGTGTGTGTGTGTGTGTGTGTTTAGCCACTCAGTTGTGTCCGACTCTTTGTGACCCCATGGACTGTAGCCTGCCAGGCAGCTCTTCTCTGTGGGGATTCTCCAGGCAAGAATACTGGAGTCTGTTGCCATGACCTCCTCCAGTGGATCTTCCCAACCCAGGAATCAAACTGGGGTCTCCTGCATTGCAGACGGATTTTACCAGCTGAGCTACCAAGGAAGCCCTTCCTCTCCTCTACTTGAATAAAATTCAATATGAATTTTATTGTTCATATGTTGTTTTTTCTTCTCTCTTTTGGAGGTCCATCATCCTAAACTACCATCTCACAATCTCACTGAGAACTATATGTTCTGAGTGAGGGTCTCTTTGTCCCTTAAGGCTGTGGGATCTATAGAAAAAGAGAGAGAGAGGGAGATTGGAGCCTACTTACATCTTGATAGTATCAGTAGATGTTCCTGTTAAGGGCAGGA